AAAAAAATACAAAGAAAATTAAAAATAAATTAAAAATAAGTTCTAAAAAAATTTTAAAAAATGAAAAAAAAAAAATCCACGTGTCCGCCAGGTCACCTCCGGCGACCCACACGGGCGTCTCCGGCGCCGAATAACTAAAAAACAGCGAAGATTTTTCACTTATGAGACTAGTTTGCGACAGACTCCACTTACGAGACTAAAATGATAAGGGGGTCAGTTACGAGACTAAAAAAACAGTTTACCCTTTATTTGGGTAACATATACTATTTCATTCCTCCGGTACATTGAGAATATTTGGGTATATGACAGAGGTTAAGAAAAATAAATATTTTATTAAAAATGTAATAAAAGTACAAATATAATTGAAGGTATTTTTGAAAATTTAGTTAGAACTTAAAGAAAATAGAAAGATAATGTAATAAAGACAGTGATATTTGTTGTAAATAAGTATTGAATGAAAGATAATAGTTAAACGATTGATTTGTTGACTTTACTAAAATTAGTAATGAAGTAAATTTAACGGACATATTAAAAAAAAAAAAATTGAGAGTAAATTTGACGGACAGAGAGTACATCATATCATATTAATTAATGTATTTATATAGTCTCTCCATTCAACTCGAATGTACCCCTTTGGAATTTTGTAAAAGATTAAGAAATAATAGTATTTTATTGGTTAATGGAAATGTGCATAATATTTTGATACTTTTGTCATTCGATTTACGTATAAAGTAATTGTATATATAATAGTATATTTGTAATTTAAGCAAAAGTTAAATGTATTATGGTATTAGTGTATAATTATTTTTACTAAAATAGAAAAGAGATATTTTTGAATGGAACGTACGGAATAGTAAAACTGTACTTTCAGGGGCGGAACTACACGGGGGGCTAGGAGTCAGCTGACCCCCACAAAATAGATATGTATTTTTGTGTGTAAAAATAATAAAATTATGTATTTTATAGTAATTTGTTCCTCTTAATTTTTTATTTTATAATGTAAAAAATCATAAAAATTTTGTCTGTATGTTTATTTATATTTTTAGCCTTTAAATTTTATTTTTTATAGTAAAAAATATTAAATGCTATGTAATTTTGTTGAAATTTTTTCTAAAACATTTAAATTTTTTATTTTGTTTATTTATTTATTTATTTTTTTTGTCAGGGTATACTATGAATAAAATAAAAAAACATTGAATCAATAAAAAAAAAAGAAAAATTGATATTTTGCCCCTGCAAACTTTTACTGCTGATTCCGTCACTGGGTACTTTGACTTGAAATGAAGAAAGTATATCATATCATACATATTTCCTGTATCCCACATTTTTTGTCGACTATTTCTATTTTTATCTGTGCTATCTTATTTGACTTAGATGAAAAAAGTATATTAATCTATTCCCTGAATTGTTCTAAATCATCAATGTCAAATTGTCAATATGCTCCAATAAACAAAATTTTGAAAACCAATTGTTGAAGGTAATAGAAGCTATAGAGAATTATAAATCTTTATATACTATCAACTATGAGAGATTTTATATAACGATTAATATTTCTATATTACTAGAATGATTGCATATACATTTTTTTTTTCTTTTTACGACGTGGGAACTCGCAGTCGCTACTCGAAAGTGCGCACAGGGTAAACCCCCAGCCGAACCTAATACCCTGCAAACTAGGTCCGATAGGCAACTTACACTAGGTGAACTATGTGTGGCAAGTGACCTGAGGCGTCGAAAATTTGAACCTATGACATCACGGCCACACGTCCAAGCCCCACAGCACCAGGCCGTCCCTTGCGGGTCTAAAATATAATCGATGCATAAAATCTCCTACATCAAAACTTCAAAAAAAAAAAAAATTAAAAAAAAATCAATCAAACTCATACAATTTATTTAAAAATATTATTTCAAATGACAATTAAATAAATTAGTATGGTCATAAATAATATTAAAATATTGTTTGAATTTTCTACACATTCCGTTAAATATTAGAGTTCAAAGAATTTGTTTAAAAAAATTAAACAGTGGTTAAGTTTTATAAAAAAGATCATTTGTATTAAAAAAAAAAAAAACCTTAAAAATCAGAGTTCAAATATTAGAGCCTTAAAATTTAAATTATCTATTTACATTAATCATTTTCTTTAAAAAAAAATCATATAAATATTTATTTCAAGATTATTCAAATCATTGAATAAAAAAACTATCTATTTTAATTTATTTTTACAGTTTTAAAAAAAATTTCAAAATACAAAATATAGCCAAACTAACACCAATTTTTTTTGTTGTAACATTTTACCAACAAATTTATATCATATCAAATAACTAAATAAAATTAAAATTTTATTATTCAAAATTTAAATTCAAAATACAAATAAACACACTTTTCGATAAAACAGCAAAGTATATATAATACATTTTTATATTATATTAAAAATTAATTTATATTCAAAATACTTTTACATTAAGACCTATTTTAATTACATGATATTAGAATTATGCTCTCTCTGTCCAGCTAAAAAGTATACACATTTCTATTTTGGAATATCCAATTACAAAGTAAACATTTCATTAAATACTTCACTTTTTTCCACAAATACCCTTACTTTACATCACATGATTACTTTTATACAAAAAAAAAAGCAAGGACAAATATGTCATTACACTACTTTTAACTACTCACCGGGCCAAAAATAAATGTATACTTTATCTGTGGACGGAGGGAGTAGTTTTTTTCTTTTTTCCTAAGTTCAAAATTAAAACTCCACAAACAAATTAAATCAAATAGAATCAAGAGTTGATCTTTCACTATTTCAGAAATTTTTTATTCATACTTCTAAAAAAATATTTTATACGGATTTGTATTTAATTTTATACACATTGGAGTAATTTCTGAAAAAAGTAAAATAATTTTTAAATTAAAATTATTATTTTATCTACAATAATAATAATAAATATATGTTTAATAATACTGAATGATTCAAAATACTTTAAATATAATTAATAAAATTTAATAAAAATACAACACATTCTTTTTTGGAATTTTAACAATTTATTTCTCATTCTATTTTGGCTTTGGCTTCGGAGAGTTTTTTTAGTCAATCTAAACCATTATTACTATTTTAAAAACTATTAAATCCATTATTTATTTAAAATAAATTATTAAAAATTAATTACAATTTAAACATTATATCCAATATTTATTTATATTAAATTAAAAAATATTTTATTTAAACTTTTTTTATTATTAAATCAATTCAAAATGTTCAAACATATGTGTTCACCTAACAACAGAATCACCTGTCTGATTTTGTATTAATATTTAAAAAATATAATATAAAACATACACACCGCATATATATAATACCTACTTGCTTTCTAAAAGTACTTTTAAAAAAAATTCCATTTAAAATATTAACTTTTTATATTATTGAAAGAAATTTGTTATACTTAACATAAAAATAACTAAAATTATAAGTCTTGTGAGTTTGCTTGATTTGGATTATTTAATTTTTTTATTTGATATTTAAGTTAAATAATATTTTATAAAATAATAATATTTTTTATTAAAAAGCATATGTGTTAAATAGTAAAATTTGGAAAATTTTGGGGAAAGAAATATACCCTAATAAGTCTTTGATTTGAATGAATATTTGGATAATATATATAGAATATTATAGTAAGTTTTGTACATAAAAACCATTTTATTTTAATAATTTAATTCTTATTGTATATGCATTTTTTAATTATCTGGTCTCATTCTCTTAACAATTTATCAATTTTTTTATTTTGGTTCGTTTCGTAATAAAGTATCTTTTTTTTTTTTTTTAGTAATTGTACCATATACTTAACATTACAAATACCATTCTAATTTACAATATATTACAAAAATATCATTACTTTTATATCATACAATACTAATAAGGATAGTTTAGTCTTTTTACCTTTATTTCTACTATATTCTAATATAATACTAATAGAAAATTATAAAAATATTATATAATAATAGTAAGTGTGACAATTAGGGCCGGTTCTTTTTGCCGGGCTTTCATTTTTTTTCAAAATTATTTCTTTTTTTTTAGATTTGAATTAATTTCAAACAAATTATACTTTAATAATATAAGTGGAAAATTGAACTCACAACAAAACATATACTAACTAAGACTTTTATCATTAAACCATGATTTTTATATTTATTTCAAACATTAATATATATATAAATTTATTAAAAGGTAAATATTAATTTTAAAATCATGTCGGGCCAGCCAAATATTATCAGGCCTGATTTTGGAGGCTCAAGTACGGTTTTTTCGTACCGTGCTCAGACCGGATTTTCGGGTCGTGCTTATTTTTGCCACCCCTAAGTCAGGGCATTAGTAGTTGTAGGTGTATATTATATTTTTCGAGCACGGGTTTTCGGGAAATTACGTATAGATAGAAAGTCGCACTAGGCGAACTATATGTGGCAGGTGACCTGAGGCGTCGAAAGTTTGAACCCATGATTTCACGGTCACAAGTCCAACCCCTACACCACCAAACCATCAATTACGAGACAATTACACAATATTTTGACTACACTTACCGTGGTAGAAGAAGTCCCCATTTTATTTTTAGATATACTTGAAATTCAACCCCAACTAGCTACTCATTTAACTTGTCAACTCCATAAATATTGAAAATTCGACGCACCAATATATTCAACCCCATTGCCGAGTTCCATCGGCCTCTTTTCGGGTGAGCTAATGTAAATTTACCTTTGAATCATTCCTTTTGAGTTTTTTATATAATTTTTTATTTTATTATATTTAAATATTCTTTTCAAAAACTGATTTTTATAAAGAATTATTTAAATATATAAAATCGAGATTTTTTTTTTTTTTTAAGCTGACCCTTAATATATTATTTTTTTTAAAGAAATTATTTTATGTAAAAAATTCCATTTAATTTTATATGTATGTATATATATATATATATATTCAAAATACAAAAATGATGTCTTTTGGTATTGATCTTCCTTCTTCCCACCCATTTCGGATCTGTCTTTCCCCAATCGAAACGCACGCTGATGAATTTCCCGAGCTCTCACTCGCTTTCCTGGCCCTGCATCATGTTGTGGTACTTTTCGAAAACCTTCGATTTCTACAATTATCGTTTTGTTTTCTGTATTCCTCGCTGTTTCACTTCACTGTTGATATAAATTTGTTGTTGCGTCTACTTCGGGGGTTGTACTCTTAATTATGTGATCATTTCCGCAATTATGGTTGATTGTGTATCATGATTCAATTTCAAGTTTGAGTTTCTTTATTAGTTACGGTGTTTTCGGTTAAAGGATGCAGGATTTGTTTGGTAGATGGTTTGGTCAGAAATCGGTTGGGATACATGAGAATGTTTGAAGAATAGAGAAGGAAGATGCGATAGGAAGAGGCGTGAAAAAATAGAGGAGTAGGTTAGGGATGAGGTTGGTAGTGTAATTCTGTATAATTGGGTCTATGATTGGTGAGGTGATTTAGATTGAAGAAATTATGTTTAACAAAATAATGAAGAGAGGGCAGAAAAAGCCCTCAAAATCGGAAGCAGCTGAGCCTCCTGTGCCGACGGCGGCTGCAGCTCCCGAGGTTACTGTAAATCATGCATCGCGTATGCCGGCTATCCCTGTGCCACAGCCGGCCCCTTGTTTGAGTGTGCCACAAAACCCTGGGGTGGTTGAAGTCTTACCGATGGTGAAGGATGTAGCTTTGCCTGAGAGACACAATATATTTATCCGGAAGGTTCATGTTTGTTGTATACAGTTCGATTTCACGGATATGATGAAGTCGGTCAGGGAGAAGGAGATCAAAAGGCAAACCATTGCGGAGCTTGTTGATTTGGTGCAGTCTGGATCGTTTAAAATGAATGAGATAATGCAGGAGGAGATGGTGAAAATGATAGCTTTGAATATTTTCCGATGCTTGCCTCCACCACCTCATGAGAATGCTTGCTCGGAGGGTAGAGATCCTGAGGAGGATGAAATGTTTATGGATCCAAACTGGCCTCATTTGCAACTTGTGTACGATTTGCTTTTGAGATATGTAGTGTCCTCTGAAACAGATACTAAGATCGCCAAGAGGTATATTGATCACTCATTTGTGATGAAGTTGCTTAATTTATTTGAGTCTGAGGACCCAAGAGAAAGGGAGTATTTGAAAACTGCTCTTCACCGGATATACGGCAGGTTCATGATTCATAGACCCTTTATACGGAATGCTATCAACAATATCCTCTATCGATTCATATTTGAGATGGCGCGATACAATGGTATCATTGAGTTATTGGAGATTCTAGGAAGTATTATAACTGGGTATGTGTTGCCCATGAAAGAGGAGCACAAATTGTTTCTTGTACGCATTCTTATTCCATTACACAAATCTAAATGCGTCGCCACATACCATCTGCAACTGTCACATTGTATTACACAATTCGTGGAGAAAGATTACAGGCTGGCTGATATTGTTATAAAAGGGGTTCTGAAGTATTGGCCTATCTCAAACTGTGGGAAGGAGGTTCTCTTCCTTGGAGAACTAGAAGAAGTTTTGGAGTTAACGCAGTCGGCAGAGTTTCAGCGCTGTATGGTTCCGCTGTTTAAACAGATTGGAAGAAGCATCAACAGTCCAAATTTCCAGGTTTGCGGGTGCATCTTGTTGGCACTTTTTATGATGCTATGCGTACTAATTTTCAAGAATAGGCTGGCAGATAATTAATTTTGATTATATTTCAGATTGAATTAATTTTGTCAGCTTACGAAATTGTGATTAAGAACTTGGGGCAATTTGATCACTAGAAATATTTATATGGTTGATACATATTAAATGTTCCGATTCTTGCATTCCTCACAATATCTGATAACTGTGCAACTTTTTAAAGCTCCTGCTAATTAATGGAGATACATAGGATTAAATGAAGTTATGACATCTACACTTGAAGCCCATGTTTTAGATTGACATATTTATTGTTGTTGGTTCCTCTATTGCATCTTTTCGAATAAGATGATACAGTGTTGAAAATGCGATCTATTTCTGTTGTGATTCTTAATAATTTGTGGCCTAGTGTTGTATTTTTAATTCAGTTGTTCATTATTAATGAATTTTTCCTTGGATTGGTATTGTTTCTTCTTAATTTTCAAGTAATTTTCTTCTAGTGTTGGGTGAAAGAGCTGACATATAAAGTAGATCTTCCACATGATTAGTTGCTGCATGCCTCAGCCTCTACTTTCTAAATGACAGGTAGCAGAACGTGCTCTCTTCTTGTGGAACAATGAGCATATAATAGGCCTGATTACAGAAAATCGATATGTTATTTTACCAATCATATTTGATGCATTGGAGAAGAATGTGCAAAGTCATTGGAACCAGGCAATCAGTGGTTTGACTTCCAATGTCCGAAAAGTGTTCCTAGAGATGGACACGGAACTATTTGAAGAATGTCAGAGGCAGTATGATGAAAAGGAGGCTAGAGCAGGAGAACTGGAAGAGCGACGACTCTTGACCTGGAGAAGATTGGAAGCTGCTGCTAATACTTCTTAAAGATGCTGCTTTACTTCTCAGTTACAGACCTTAACATGGGATTCGTTTGAAAAATTTTCAGTAACAGTGGCTAACTTTTGGAACTGGCAAACATATGTCAATCAAGGAATGGAGAGTGATGTACAAGTGAAAGCAGAATGAAATGTTGAATGCCCGAAGAAAACGACTTGTAGTTGATCAAGGGACATGAAAATTAGAATAATAAGGTTATGGATCAAGAGACCCGTACATATTCAATCCTTATATTTTGTTTTGGTCGTGTTGTACCGAATGATTTTACATCCAACAGTTTTGATGACTTAGCTTGAATGCCAAGATTTTCGCGAGTGTATCAATCTACATTAATTCATAGATTCTTGTGATTAGCTTGAAGTTAGATATATACAATTATCTTCCTTGGTAAATTTCATGTTTTTAATGCACTTATTCAATTGATTTCAATGATTATATACTAGTGTGATCGGCTATAGTCAGTACATGTTCATATGTGTGTATCTTTTGTTGTTGAAACCTCATTTTTTCGATTTTCTAGTGCATTCTTAGTATAGCCTCCTTATCCCTTGAAAGTTGATCGATTGGATATTGAACTGTAAATGAGTTGGTATATATTCATGTCCTTTGGTGTTCATGTCGTAACTCAATGTATCGTCCCAATTTTGCAGGCAGTAAGAGCTGAATCGACTGTACTATTTTGTGTCAAGCCGAAGAAAAGTTGTATGGCTTTGCACAGAGGATCGATTTGAATGTACTGCAATCTTGGGGCCTTTTGATCTAGGTAAATCAATCTATAATCACTCGTAGAAATTGTTGCAGTTTTCGATTTCTAACCATTCTTCCATCAGGATTAACCATTTTTCGAGTAGTAAATTGAGCTGCACACATATATGTTTATTCAAATCCCGTGTTATCTTCAAGCTCCATGAAGATAGGATTTGTTTCAATCTTGAAAGTATAGCTGTTTGTTGCCATAGTTTGGTGTTTTGTGGCTCCATTGATGATAAATTAATGAAATAAGACAAGAGTTTATCTCTTTCTTACAAATCTTGATTTGGTAAAGATAAACATTAAAACGATAGTTCTCACACATTTGAGATATATGATCGAATTGATTGTACTATGAATATGAGCCCTTGTTACATGTATCCTCATTTTCATCATTACACGAGTTTTTCGAATCATTTATTTTTTCGTAGTAGAATTTCACATGTTTGCAAGTAATTTCACATAGTAGAAAATTCGTGTAACGATAGCAGCTATTCTAATTCTTCCCAGGTTTCCCACCGTTTCGGTGTCGCTCCGACCTTACCTCGTTCACTAAATCCACCATATCCGGCGTGGTGTAGGCCTGAAAATCGAGACCCTCGTCGTCTCCCGGAACATATCTGCCTCTCGTCGTGCCCCTTTGATAGGCATTGGAGCACAGAAACGAGGTAGCGTAAGCATTTCCGAACTTCTCATACAGGTCTCGACTTCCAAACCATTTTGCGATCTCAGTAATCTCGCCGTAAATCCACAGTGTCCGAGGATCGCCTGATCGGAGACTAGCAGACATATCCACCATACACGATATCAGAATCTGCCGAGCTTTATCGAACTTGTTTAGATCTGCCTTCCGTTTCGCATTCGAAATGGCGAATGCGCCTGATCGGTAAATTTTATTCTCCGTAACCGCCTTAGATGGTGTACAGCCTTCGGGGGATGGATTTATCGGCCGGAGTATCTCTTTAGTGCTGCTGTCTTCGTGACTTTCGCCGATACAATCGCAGTATAACAGCGTTACGCGCAGAGTCGAGCTCATCTTGTCACTGCTCTGCCCCTTGAGTTTGAGTCGAGGTAAAGAGATCTCGAAACGAAACTCTTTAACCTCGTTAGCGTACATGGCGCCTATTATAACGTCGCACAAGCTTCCCATTTCAGAAATGGCGCGCGAGTACTGCCCCGTCTCGGTCCATATAATCTTCCCGTGCGTTAGCGCAAACGATAGATGAATGTCCCTAACGACGACGCTCAGGATGCCTCCAATGCAGCTGGCGACGGCGTCGGGAAGATACTCGTAGGACTCGACGAACGAGTAAGTTCCGAGCGAAGACGAAGATAGAAGACTCAATACTTGCGCGTCGTGGCACGGACCGATCCCGAAGGTATGAACGGGAATCGTTTTGAACTCGTTAATCCCTCGAGTCCTCGGAGCGATCGATTCCGGCAATTTGTAGAATCGCGAAGCAGTTTCTTTTGCTTTCTTCTTCGGGTTCTCCGGCTCGATAAGGGATTTCCTGTTCGACAAGAGTATTATACTCGTGGCCGGATTCTCGAAATGTCTCTCGTCGATCACCCGGACTCCCTTAACTAGAATGTCCAAGACGTCGCCTACCTCCGCGAGGAAAAAGAGCGAGCTCACGATTTTTCTTAGGCTTTCTTTACCGTACTCGTCCATCGTCCGCAAATGCGTAAGTCTTCGAGGTTCCGGGCAGGGCGAAACGATTGAAAGCCTGTCGCGGGAGCTCATGTTGTCGATGATGATAAGAAGCGCACCCTTGATGAAATCCAGCATCGACTCGTCCTCGCACCAACCGATATCGAGCACGACAACAACGTCGGTCGCTAAGCGCTTCAGCTCATTCGAGTATTCGGACTTCGATGGCGCCACGAGCCGGACAAGAACTCCGAGTAAATGCGCGGGTGTCGCCGCGGCGACCTCGCTGAACTCCGGAATGGTTGCGACAGAAATCTTTGGTTTGATGCTTTTGCCGTTGGCTACCTCCGGGGCCGGATCGGGTTCCATGAGGGGCTCGTCGTCGGAATAACTATTGGGTTCTTGATTCTCGACTTCAAAGAGAAGTTGTTCTCTCTGCGAGAGGTAATAAGATGAAATTATGATCGAACTAACTGGAGAAAGTGAGAATGAGGCAAGAGATTCGAAACTGAAAAAACTTACTGTTTGATCGGACATGACTGCCTGCAGCGGTTGCGCTTCGTAGGCGAAGGCGGCGGCGACGGAGGCGGCGGCGTCAGCTTGTCGTTGGCGGCGGCGTCTTTCGGCGGTCATGTTACCGATGATGAGTTTATCTCGGGGAGGAGGAGGAGGCGTGGAGGTGTCGACGTCGTCGTCAGATGAAGATGAAGATGAAGACATGATTATGATATGAAAAGGATTGATTCTTGATTGACTGTGTGTGTGTGTGATTCTTGTGGAGGGAGTGAGGGAGTGATTATGGGGTTAAAGTATTGGTTGGGTCAAGAAAACTGGCGATGAAATTCTCTATATACGGGTTGGGGGATGGCCGCCGCGATGTGAAAATTAGAATAGATATTTAATGTAATATAAATAAATAAAAAATAGTAATAAATACTCCCTCCGTTCAAGTCATTTGAAATTTTATAGTAAATCCGTTCTAATCTAAATGAGTAATTTGAAATTTTATAATAAATCAAAAAATAATAGTATTTTATTAGTTAGCGAAAGTGTAAGAGATTTTAATATTTTTGCCCACTTAACTTTATTTAAAAAGTAATTGTATGTATAATGGATGTTTGTAATTTTAGGTAAAAATTAAGTGTATTTTGGTATTTCTGTATGATTACTTTTACTAAAATAGAAAATAAGATACTTTAAAGTGGGACGGATAAAAATGGTAAAATTGGTATTTTGAGTTGGGATTGATAGAGTATTTTTTTCAGCATATAGTGACGTAATATTAGATTAGTAAGTTATTAATAATAAATTATAATACATATTAGTATATATATATATTTTTTATATGAGTAGGTATTTTAAATATTTTTAACATTATATTTGAATACAATATATATAATATAAATATTGATAATAAAATTATACTCCCTCCGTCCACGGATAAAGTATACACCTACTGTCAAGTAGACTCAATGATATCTGATTCTTCGTCATTTTTAGAACATGTGTAACTTCATTCAAGGCGAAAAATACCAGGTTTAGGACTTTTTCTAACCTTTATGGGTCGGCTTCTTCTTTCCAGATTTCTTGTGCCCCTGACCCGTTAGACAATCCTGATGCTTGATTTTGTGTGGGCGAATCAGATGCCTGTTGACGATCTTCTCTACTATGGAGGACAGATCGAACATCTTCCAAAGATAAATTATTTTTCCAATTAGTAAAATATCCAACAAAATTCTCACATGATTCGGGGCAATTATACTAACAGAATTCAAGCAGCATCCTCACAATCTAATATAACATCAATATTTCGCAGATCAAACTTTTCTAGATAGTCCCGAAGAGAGGTACCTTTCTGCATTCTGAACAGACGTTGCTTCAAAAACAACTTATTGGTTAGAGATTTTGTCATGTACAAACTCTAGAACTTCTTTCAGAGGCCAACAACAATTTCCAAATCGGCAACTTCGATAATTACATCATCGGACAAACACAACATGATTATCGAGTGGGCCTTCTCCGTTATTCCATTATTTATCATCTACTTTTGCACCTCTAGGTTTTTTAAATAGTAACGCCCACAAACCCTTCTGCTTCAGCGAAGATTGCATCTGGATCAATCATAGGCTAAAACTATTTATCCCAGTAAATTTGTCAACCTTTACGTTGAAAGAAGACATTGTTGATCGATTCACGAAACCCTAGCAGAACGGAAATAAATAGAACCCTGATCGAAATGATCAAGCTCTGATACCAGTTTTTTGTAACGGATTATGATGTAAATTGTTTTTTTAGTCCCGTAACTAAACTCCGTTATCATTTTAGTCCCGTAAGTGGAGCATGTCGCAAACTAATCCTATAAGTGAAAAATTTTCGTTGTTTTAGTTATTTGGCGCTGGAGACGCCCGCATGGCTCGCCGGAAGCCACGTGTTCCGCTAGGTCAACGACACCTAGTAGATATGAGATTTTTTTTTTTCATTTTTTTTTTCAATTGGACCGAATAAAAAAATTTTAAAAAGCAAATAAAATTTAAAATAAATTAAATATAAATTTTAAAAAATAAAAAAAATTAAAAAAAATATAATCCACGTGTCCGCCAGGTGTCGCTCACCTAACGGACACGTGGCCTCCGGTGCCGGAGGACTAAAATAACGAAAATTTTTCGCTTATGGGACTAGTTTGCGACAGGCTCCACTTACGGGACTAAAATGATAACGGAGTTTAGTTACGGGACTAAAAAAAACAATTTACCCAAAATATAAAGCACAATTTTACTTTTATTAAATATTATAAACATAAATTATGATGTAAAAATAAATTTTGATCTCATTGAGTACAAATAAATCAATTTTAGTCTTATCCATAAGAAATTATGAAAATTGATCTCAATAAACAAAATTTAATCAAATTTGATCACAATGTTAAAAAAATCTAACTGAACAATGACTGAATTTGAATTTATTTGATCCCAACATTAAAGTAACTTTTGTTGGAATTAATTTTGCTGACTATTTTTATATTGAGACTAAAATTTATTATTTAATTTTTAATAGATCAAAATTGATTTTTTCTGTATATTTTAGGTATTTCTTATAGATAAGATGTACTATGAAAAATAAAAGTTTGAAGGAAATTTTGGTTGAATGGAAAATCTAACTGGAGATCTCGACAAAATAGAAGAGCGGAAAAACTAAAATGACATATAAAATTATAACAAAAATAATTCTATGATTTGAATCGATTTCTTTACAGTGGAGAGAAATCAAACTATTACATAAAATGATTAATAAATATTAGTTTTTACAATAAATAAATATTTTTAAATATTTAACCGTCTGTCTAGTTATATATATATATATATATACATATAAAGATATGAAAAAAAAATTACAGAAAAAAATAAGTTTTTTATTTTATTTATTTATTTATTTTTATAACCCTTGAGATTTAAATAACAAATAAAATTGTATTAAAAAAACTATAATTTTATTTACTTTTTTTCTTTTTAACTATAAAATTATAAATTAGTTTTTTTTTTTTTTTTTAAATACAAAAAAGAAGTATGGGTGTGTTTTAATTAAATTCATGAATAATTTATGTTGGAGTTGAATTAAAAATAAATATACATTAATCTTAAAAATAATTCAAAAAATATCGATCTTGTTGTTCCGTTGATGAATTTTCATCTTTGTACGACTTTGACATCTCCCTGGACAATAACGTGATGCCGGTGATCTTTTGAACCAAAGCAGTGGCACGCTAGGATTGCGCAGGAATCAGTTTTGGCTACTGGATACATATAATTACGGTTGGTTACTTCACCGGGGACAACAAGCCATTGTTCCATTTCTTTTTCTACCCGTACTTAATAATCTATTTTACAAATTAACTTATATATATTTTATGTAATGCTAAGGGATATTATAATTGTTTATACAAAAAACATTGTCAATTCAAATGTTATGTTAACCATTATAAAAAAATTTTAAGAAAAAATAAAAAAGAAGTAAAGAACAGTTGAAATATATATATATATACACGTAGCCATCCACCTTTTATAAAGGTATTTTTTTTTTTTTAAGAAGAAGTGAAAGTACATTTTTTTTATTACTCAATATTTAATCCACTCCTATGAAAATATGATATTGAATAGTTATTTTTCTCATATCAAATATCATATTTAACAATTATTTCATCCAAAATAATATAAAAGAAAAAGTTTTGATTTAAAATATTTAATGTATTTTTATTTAAATGTCTCTTGTTACTAAAACAAACACAATAGTAAAATCATAGTTATATGCTTCTTATAATATGTGTTACTTTATTCTAGATAATTGTGTATCTCATTAATGATTACTATAAATACCTACATAAGACTTTTGAGTTGTTATTTGTTTATTTATTATTTATCATTTATTTAAATTTTGGTCATGTTTTGCTAGAAAAAAGAATATTGTTTTTATAAAGAAACATAAGTTAAATATTAAAAAAATAAAAAAATTAAAATAAGTTGGAAAATGATGATACACGTTGCATCTATTTCTATTAAAGATCATATCACTGCGAAGAAAACTTACCTTTTGTAGCGTCTCTGTAACAATAAACTCGTAGCAAAAAGTAGTTTTAATTACATATATAAAACCTTTGCCTCCACATAACTCTCTTGCCTCAATATTTCCTCAGTTGGCCCTCACAGCTTCATCTTTTACTTCCACCAAATAGCCCTGAACACCGGTCATGATACAAAATTTTAGGATTCTTACAACCAAGAATGTCAAAATCAATTCTTAGAGTCTAAAATGTGAGAATATAACACATGCAAAATTGAAACTTAAATAATTATTAAAAAAATAAAATAAACTTAATAACATGTAACGACAAAAGGTGAATGAAATAGATAATATATATAATTTTTTTTAATTTTCCATGTTGAACATATAATGATAAACTTAACTATTTAATGGTACTTGTAATTGAAGAAGTGAAAACAACGATTGCTCAAACAATAGAAGATCACATTTTACTTTGATAACTGGATTAATTAATATTTATGGAACTTGATAGTTAAAAGGTTACTGTGCTCCTTCCTCCAGACACGTGGTGACAAGAGACAACGCAACCAATTAACATTTTATTTTATTTGAACACCTGGCGATAGCAGTCGACTTAGAACATTTGAAAACCCGCGACTCATCAACTTCTTGATATATGCACAGTTGTTCAACATAAAACACAACTTCACCAAATTAACAAAGACTGTATCAATGTACATACATAAAGACATCCGCTTGTACACATCGAAATCAATTTATCCTTGGTTTGTAATTTTCCTGTACACATCGAAATCAATTTATCCTTCACAACATCCCAAGTAACGACAAGAAGAAGAAGAAAAAACAAAGCATGGATTGCCAAAAACTTGATCAAATCATGAATTTAACTTCAAATTAAACAGTTTTAACTCAAAACCCTCCAAATCCAAAACGGGTGAAGATCTGCGAAAAATTGGTCACAACCTCGAAGATTAAGAATTGATCTGCATGAGAGAACAACCAATTTCTCATATCAATGAAAACAACAACCAAAGATGACGAAATCGATGTAATCGCTAATAAATTAGATAAGGAAATTTAGATTAGCAAAAACCTCATAAATGGAAAAGATCCAAAGTCGAGAGAGAAGATCGAGATGATGATGAATGATTGGACAATGGTACACTACAAAAAAATATCAATTTTGTAACCAGATTTTTTCGTTGTTAAATCCACTTTTTCTGTTACTAATGATATTAGAGACGGAATTTGAGATGGAATTACGTTAGCTACGTGAACTTTAGTAACGGAATTTCGTTACGAATAAACTATTTTTTTGTAGTGGTAGGCAACAAGAGCCTTGAGCGGAGATGCGAGTTTGCGTGCGTTTCTATAGATATATATAAAGGAGGATGAAGATGAGGGGAGTCGATAGGTAGTAGGTACGCAAAAATACTACTGATGGTACTGGCTTAACTATGGTGAATATGGCTCGGTTAAGCTTATTAATACTTACCTTGTATTTTCATTTTCAATTTTATTATTATTATTATTGTAAAATATATTTGTTCATTTATTACAATTTGTTAGTGTATCAAAAGTGAATATTTATATCATTGACTAATTTGAAAGGTTACATTGTATTAATTTTATTTGGAGGTAATTTTAATAAATGAGATGGATAGAATTTTTTAAAATCAACCGGTTATAAATACTCCCAAATTAAAGTTTTTAATTGATGATAAAAATAGAAAAATAAATTATATGATTTGAGTTATTTTTAAATTTACAGTATTTTAAATTAATTTTTTCATAATATTATATTATTTAAAATAGAACATATTTTAAGATATTTTAAAACTTTCAGGGTTTTAAATAAAATTTTACATAATTCTAAGAAATTGAAAAGATGAAAAATGAACATTTTATTGGATTGTGACTATTTTTTCAAATTAAAAAAAAAATAGAAAAGGGCTATGCTTCGAGATATTAAAAAAATTACAGGTTTTATAATGATTTTTTTTTAATAATTTTATAATATTGAAAAGAGAAAATAAGAAAACTTTAATAAAGTGCCATTATTTTACAATCTAATTTTTAAATTGATGATAAAAATTAAAAAGAACATTATATGCTTTGAGATATTTTGAAATTTATAAAATTTTAAATTGAATTTTTTATAATTTTATAACATTAATTGAAAATAGGAAATATAGAAATTTTATGTTTTGCCATTATTTTAGAAACTAAAATTTAAAATTGATGACAAAAATAGAAAAATGCATTATATGTTTTGACATATTTTAGAATTTGCACGATATTAAATTGAAATTTCCATAATTCTATGAAATAGAAAATAGGAAATACAAATTTTTTTAATTAATTGTCGTTATTTTCCTACTTAAAACTTTAAATTGATGTAAAAATAGAAAAACGCATTATATGTTTGAACTTTATTTATCTAAATGATAGCCAATGCATTATAATTTTAAATATTTAATTAGTGGCTTGTAACGGTTATTTTAGTCTTAGCGCTACAAAGTAGAGCTTGTTGGTTGATGAATGAGCTTTTCGGTGTGGTGTGGCGGCGACATTCCGATTTAAGCCGACCGGTGTATTACAATTTGTATCTGAACTGTTTGATGGTTGAAACACCATGTGTATGTTGAATCCGTTTGAACTGGCTGCCTCCTGCAGTCGGGGTCATTATTCTATATATCCGGAGTAGCATTGTCTTGTTGAATAATAATGACGTTGCTTAAGCTTGTCGGTACTTGTTTTTTAAATGGAAACATTCTAATTTTTTCATCAAATAAAGTCTTCCCATCCTCTTTATAGAATGACTTGCTCACAACGCAAAAAAATATTACTTTTGTAATGAATCTTTTGCTTCGGCATACCACCCTACGCAATGTTACGAAAAGTTCCTCTTTTACAATAATGTATTCCTTGTAGAATTGTTTCTTCTGTTGCTGCTTAGCTTAGTTTATTTTCAATGATGTAATTATGTATAAGTGTTAACAATTTATGAAGTGAGAATACTTTTGAAAATCGTTCAACTTGTTTTATTTATTTATTTTTTTTTAATTTCACTAATACGAGTGGTAAAATAGACATTTTTGCTACCCTACTACACTACGTATTTATAAAATATTAATTTATCTTAATTGTGAAAGTCAATTGAAAAAATTATCATTGGACAGAGGGAGTATATTATATGCTTTGACATATTTCAAAATTTACTAGAATTTATAAATTTTAAAATTTTTGGTATATTTATTTTTTTATTAAAATTAAAAGTTGATTTTTTAAATATTTATTATGAATAATGATTTAAATTTTTAAAAAAATTTTAATTAGTAGAAAGATAATAAATATAGAAAAATATATATATATTTTTTTTCTAAAAGATGTATATTTTGTAAGAGAAAATAATTTATTTATAATTGAAAATTGTGTTACCTGAATAGTGGTAATTTATATTTGAAATACATACCAACCAATCTCATAATTGTATATATATTTTAATTATTATTATTATTATTGTTGTCGTTTATTTATTTTTTCTCGAAGAGGAAATTAGCTAAAAACATAAAAGAGACAAATATCTTATTAAATCATATAAAATTTGGAATTTATTCAATTGTTCATCTCATTGGGATCCAAGAGATTATAGTGACATACTATTAAATCCATCTTTAAAATATCAATTATATATACGAGACAATTATTTCAAAAAATACGGTGGTATTTGTAAAGGTACAATATTATTATGATTAATTTATTTCAAGTACATGCCAACACTAGTTAATGATGAATATAACAAAAAATAGTGAAACTATGTCTGATTGAAAAATGGTAGCTTTATATAATTATAATAGTCAAGTCGATTAGTTACAAGATAATTGGATAGTAATTGTAAAAAATCAAACAATTATAAAGCCATCTAAGTACATAGTGGTAAATTTTTATTCAAACAATTATCTACGTATATATTTTGAGTACACCATAATAAAATTAAAATTAAAATCCGTCCCATTGAATGATTGTAGTTTACTTTTTGCACCTAAATTTTTAAATATTAGTATTATATTATGTTGCAGTAAAAAAACAAAACTACCCGTATTAGTATTTAGTATTGTATAATATAAAAGTAATAACATGTAATATAATATATTGTAAATAAAAAGGGTATTTATTATATCAGTTAACTAGTACAATTAATAAATTATGTACATGTGACTTAAACATACAAGGTCAACAAAATAATTAAAAGATCATGAAACAAACTCAATATATTATATAAAACATATTTTTTCTCTTGCAGAATATCACATCAAAATTCCAAAACTCTGTGTCTAAATGGTGCCAAAAGGATTGGGATGCAGTGTAGTGTACCAATATTTTCTGCTAGATACCCATTCTTACATACGAAACAACATATAGTTTGATTCATATGTTTAATTTTGTGCCCATTGTAGGTGTTGCAGTGTGGGCAATACGACCAGAAAGCAACCTCTGCTTCTGCTCAATGTGCAGATTGTGTTGCACCAGGGTGGATTAATGTGAACAGGGGGAGATATTGGCTATACCAAGAGAGTAGCTGTCCTAACCAATATGACTCGCTATATGTCTTGCGGTATTCATGGACACCTGAACCCAATGCTACAGAAAAATATCAATTTTGTAACAAGATTTTTTCGTTGTTTAATCTACTTTTTCCGTTACTAATGATATTAGAGACGGAATTTGAGATGAAATTACGTTAGCTACGTGAACTTTAGGAACGGATTTCCGTTACAAATATACTATTTTTTTGTAGTGCAATTTCTCAGCATACTTTGGGCTGAGGTCTAGTGGAGTAATGTGAATGGGGGAAATATTACTTTCTTGTATTCCTGAAAAAGGATGCAAGTCGAAGAATTAATTACTCACGCATTATTCAAGTTCAACAAGTCAGCATTTTGGCGCGGCGAGTTTGGAAAAACTACAACTCACCCTTAGTCTGAGAAAACCCTTTTTTATGAGCATATATGTGTATCATGCCAGCTTTTATATGTAGAATGTAGGTTCTGCATCTCATCCCTTAACCTGAAATTTATTGAAGAGACTTACATTATAAGGATTTATAGTAAGATGGCATTATGGAGTGCAGCTAATGGTAATTACCATATTAAATACCCCCGGAGGTTCGTCTGAGGGTAGTCGATACCAAATGAACCACGGGCTTGAATGTTGGTCTTGAGATCCTTCAATATATTATCGTCCATGTGATGCGCCATGCATTGAATAAGTTCCTCAATGAATGATCCTTCTCCTTCCGGGCTAACTCTTTCCAGTGGTGGAGGTGCTTCTTTTGGGTCACCAAAATACTTCACCTGGATCAATATTTGAAATGAACAATTACAGCACCGTCTCTAATCGATCTAATATCATGGTGTGAATAATAGCCGTGAACGTACCCATGAAATCATAAAATGTTGGTTCACCCGTGTTCTGCGATTGACTTGAACTTGTACAATGCCTCTCTTCAAGTCATACTTAAGCCTCTTCGCCTTGTCGGAGATCAAGTCCCAAGCAACAGATCTCTTTTTATCTGCATCAGATGGCTTAAAGCCAAGAACCTTGTACCAATCGACCTCTTCTTCATGGACCTTCTGTACAGACTGATAGACATCAAATGTAGACAAAATTTGGGTGATGTCATCTAACTCAGGATATACAGCCTTTGCTCGCAACGCCAACTTCTTTGCCTCGATAACATAATTCTCTTGCCCCAACATTTCCTCAGCTCCAACTTTGGCCTTCACAGCTCATCTTCATGCTGTTCCATCTTAGTGTAGGCTTCACCCGGTCATACTACAAAATTTTAGGATTCTTACAACCGAGAATGTCAAAGCCAATTCACTGAGTATAAAATGTGATAATAGCACATGCATTGTTGAAGCTTAAATAATTGTAGAAAAATAATTAATTAATAACATATCATGGAAAGAGGTGAATTAAAAAGTTAATTTGTATATGTTTTTTTAGTTGACCACATAATTGTAAACTTGAACTATATAAAGATACTTTTAAATGAGAAAAGATATAAATTGTTTATTTCATAAATGATAAAGAATTATCGTTTCACCTAAAAGCTCGAACTGTTAGGGAAACGCAACCATTAATTATCTATATATCCGGCCTGAGACATCCTCTTGTTGTTGGTTTGTAATTTCTCTGGAGTCTGGACACATCAAAATCAATTTATCCTTCACAACATTGCAAGTAAAAAAAATAGAAAAGAAAAACAAAGCATGGATTCACAAAAACTTGATAAAATGACAAATTTCATCTCATACTAAACAATCCTAACTCAAAATCTTCTAAATCCAAATCAAACAAAGTTTTAGAGAAAACTGGTCACAGCCTCGAAGATTTGGAATTGATCTACATGAGAGATCAACCAATTTCCCAGATCAATGAAATCAACAACCATAGATGACAAAATTGACATAAACGTTGATAAATTAGAAAAGGTCATTCAGATTAGCAAAAACCTCAAAAAAAAAAAAAAAAAAAAAAGATCTGAAGTTGAGATAGAAGATCGAGATGACGATGGTTCCACAATAGCAGACGACAAAGCTAGCGTGAGTGGTTGTGGGAAACTGGGTGCGTTCTATAGATATATATATAGAGGAAGATGAAGATAAGGGAAGGCCGGAGAATGTGACGGGATTAATTAAACTTTAACCATGGTTAATTCTTGCCATATATTTTTATTTAAGGAAACTTTTAATAAATGAGATGAATAATTTATTTTTTTTTATAAAAATGGAAAAAGAAAGAAATATGAAATTGTAATTAATTGACATGATTTTACAAAGTAATACTCTCCTCCTTATGGTAAATTTAGTGATTATGGCTTTGGCACGAATATTGAGAAAAAAAATATGTTATTGAATGTTAAAAATAAAAATATAGCTTTGGATAATTTTTGAAATTTACATAGAAATTTAAAAAAAATGAAAAAAAATATAATAAAGACAATCACATTTATAAATAAATAAATATTGAATGAAAGTTAATATTTAAATTTTGATTAATTTACTTTTCTAAAATTAGTATTGAGATAAATTTAAACAAGCCCCAAATTAAAAAGTTTAGTAAAAGTAAATTTGACATGAGAGGAATTATTTAAAATTGAGATATTTTTAAATTAGATGATTTTAATTTAATTTTTTTATAATTCTATAAAATTGAAAAGAAGAAATATGAAACTTCAATTTCAATGAATTGCTATTATTTTCCAAATTATAATTTTAAATTGATGAAAAAAATTAAAAAAGAAATGTATTATATATTCTGAGATATTTTAAAATTTACAAAAAATTTAAATTAATCTTCTTATAATCTTATGAGATTGAAAATGGAAAATACAAAAACTTTAATGAATTGCCATTATTTTATAAAATTATATGTAAAATTGATAACAAATAGAAATATGATAATTTTAATAAATTATCATTATTTTCCAAACTAAAATTTTGATATCATAAATAGAAAAGTGTATATATTATATATTTTGAAATCTTATAAAATTTACTAGATTTTAAATTAATTTTTTTATATGTGATATTGAAAACATAAAATATAGAAATTCAATAAATTGCCATTATTTTTCAAAATTAAATTTAAAATTGCTTTCAACAACGTAAAATTGCATTATATGTATTTTAAAATTTTTTATAATTACAGGATTTTAATTCAAAATTTTCCTAATTATATAAGATTGAAAATACCAAAAATGAAAACTTTAATGAATTGCAATTATTTTCCAAACTAAAATTTAAATTGATGACAAAAATGGAAAAATATATTATATATATTTTGAGATCTTATAAAATTCACCATATTTTAAATTATGAAATTGAAAAGAGAAAATACATAAACTTCAATAAATTGCCATTATTTTCCAACATTAAATTTTAAAATTGTTGTCAAAAATAGAAAAATGCATTATATGGTCTGAGATATTTTATAATTACATAATTTTAATTCAAAATTTTCCTAATTCTATAAGATTGAAAAGACAACTTTGAAGGATTACAATTATTTTCCAAATTAAAATTTTAAATAGATGACAAAAATGGAAAAATGCATTATATATTTTGAAATATTTTAAAATTTATAAGATTTTAAATTAATTTTTTCATAATTTTATTAGATTGAAAAGAGAATATATGGAAATTTTAATGAATTATCATTATCTTCCAAACTAAAATTTTAAATTAATGACAAAAATTTTAAACATATAACATATTTAGAGATATTTTAATATTTACAGGATTTTAAATTTAATTTTCCATAATCCTATGAGATTAAAAAGAGAAAATTTAATTTAATTTATATTATCATTATCATTATCTTCCAAACTAAAATTTAAAATTAATGACAGAAATGGAAAAATACATTACATGTTTTGAAATATTTTAAAATTTACATGATTTTAAATTTAATTTTCCATAATAGAGATTAAAACGAGGAAATATGAAAAACTTAAATGTATTATTTTTTAAAATTATTTCACCAATGTTTGTATTTGTTTTGTATTTTTATTAGAAATAATATTTTTCATATGAGCTACAGAGAATTATATTAATAATATAAAAATAATAATTTGTTTGGCAAATGTGTCAAAGAAATTTTAGGTTAAAAAACAAAACTATAGTAACTTAAAAAATATATGTCAAACTAATGTCACCGGCTTACTTCAATCCCTCGTAAATAGTCAGAAAGTGTTGGAAAGACTTAAAATTTCACAAAGAAATTTGACATCATCTTTAAGTATTACATAAGAATCACATGAAATTGCAAATAATATATTCATATTCACAACTAGTGTAATCTTGGTTGTCGCCTGCCGTTGAATATTGGATGCCCGGATCCCTTCTTAACATGGTATCAGAGCCATGGTACTCGTACTGAGTTTGGATTCTGTATGGATAGTGATCAAAGCTACCATTTTCATCGTCACTTAAATAGAATAGCATTTACACACAAAAAACTCAATACAATCACTCCTCAACTTCATTCCATAAAACAAAAATGACTCGAAGAATTATATATTATATCTGATAATAGTTCAAGTAAAAAAAGACTACAAGAATTCAGATAACTATAACATACAAAGCTTCACAGGTATGATCTTAAAAATACAGCCACAACAAGCTCCCAAACACACACACACACACTTATATATACTTGAGGTTGCCTAACAAACCTTTGCCACTTTGGGCAACAAAATTGGCTGCAACAAATCCTTCGAGTGAAATCATTCTCAAGTTTATTTGAATTTTGATATATCTTTTTACGATCAGGTATCCTCTGCTGAGAATGGGCCATGTGATCTGATACATATATATATATATATGTATAATCCTTCTTGAAGCAAAAATGAACTTACCGAGTAATTTCATTTATGTATACGACGAGCACAATATGAAATATTTGTAGTATTGTAGGAGTATAAATAATCATCGATCTTGTCGGCGGCATCAGAATCAGTGATTTGTCCTTCTACAAGTAAAATTGTAACACTTGAGAGCTCAAAGGCATACACAGTGAAGCATAAGTCAAGTAATATTCAAATTAATGCTGTTTGCAAATGTACTTTAAATTCTAGGAACAAGTATAGATTGACAAAAATGGAGAAAGCATGAACGCAATTCCAGCCCATATACTTTGCTACTAACTGGTTAGATAAAAGCAAAATTATCCTCGATAACCAGAAGAAATGGGAATAGAAAAATTATCACTCAAAAGGCAACACAACATATGCATAGAAAATTCGATGAAGTACTTCAGCTAGTTATTGATTAGCAACTACGATGAGAATGGAGAACATTAAACATAAAAGCCAAATTTATACAGTAAAATAACTAGAAGAGGTAAATAACATCCCAAAACTTAAAGATTGGTGAATCTTCATGATGACTACATTAAATCTTTTGCTATCCTATAAATGGTGTTACAGTATATGGCCACAATCGCATTCGGGCCACTATGTGTGTCTTAATATTCATAAGAATAGATTTTAAGCATTTGCCGCTCCAAAAGTCCAAACCTATCTTGTCGATCATCCCACATCTGGATATAAAACCAAGTCATACAGTAATACTTTTCTGTAGAACGCTATGCCATTCCAGCACCATACTATCGCACTTAGCTTCAGTAAAGCAATGGGTCATTGATATACTATGGCATTTGGTTTCGATAAAGCAATGCGTGTCACCGTTCTTACTTTGACATGTGATTGCAATAAAGGAATAGGCGGGACAAGTAAGGAAAGTAGTATAGCATAAATTAAAAGATCAACTCAGTAATACCCAAAATACTATCACATATTTCTTATAAGCAAGTAAGAAGAAATAGCAATTAACATATAAACAAAGATATATACTTACAAGTAACATTGAGTCTAGGTTCATTAGGCTAGTCGGAAGTATCAAGCCATTGCATTCTCTACTCAAAGCATTTCCGCAAAGCATGATTGTGAGACGTTAAGTTCCCAATCCAAGGAACGAACAAATTCCATGGTATACTAATCAGGTCAAAATCCAACTCCTTTAAAAGATTTTCTTAATCATCCCTGCAGGCAAATGAAAGAATTATGTAACAGGCAGCTGCCCCTCTTGTGCATCTTAATCATCAAAGATTGCTGCCTCCTCATCAAATCCTTCGCATCAAAAACTTTCCCCAAGTACAATAGGCTAAGAAGATCAGAAACAGCTGCCATGTGTGTCTTTTCCCTTTCCCTTTCTCTACCCAAGGCCTTGAAGATTCTTGAACTTCAAAAGTTCAAATTCCCCACCAACAGACCGGACAGCAAGGGGCGAAGATTCTCCAATTCCTTTATTCCAGCCTTTTCTCTTTCCCTTTCTCTACCCAAGGCCTTGAAGATTCTTGAACTTCAAAAGTTCAAATTCCCCACCAACAGACTCGACAGCAAGGGGCGAAGATTCTTCAATACCTTTATTCCAGCCAGAATGGACGGATTAGAGTTGAAGAGCGCCTCCTGCTCTTTTTTGAGAGATTTTTCCCTGGCGAGGGACTCCTCCATTCTGTCAATGTGGTTGAGTTTCTTGCGCATAGCATGGGGACACCTGTTGTCGACGCTGAGGACGGGGAATGCCAATGCAGCAGCCTTCCTGTCGACATCAGAATATGGTGATTTTTCCTACTACAAGAAAAGTAGTTCAACACATGAAGGCTCACAAGAGGGCACATTAGACACAGCATAGATCAAGTAATATCAAATTAGTATAATCTGCTCATGTATTTTAGATTGATATGGATGGAGAAAATTGCACATTCATCACATATAGTTTCCTACTAACTGGTGAGATAAATGTAAAAGTTTCCTAGATAACAACGAGGAAATGGAAATGAAAAAATAAAAACTCAAAAGGCAACACGACATAACCATAGAAAATGAAGTACTTCTACTACTCATTGATTAGGTAAGTACGATGAGATTGGAAAAATAGAACTCAATAAAATAACTAGCAGAAGTTAATAACATCCTAAACTCAAAGATTGATGCATATTCATGATGACTACATTGAATCTTTTGCCATCCTATAAATGGTGTTATGTTTATAGGACCACAAACTATAACAGGACATGCACGCCACGTGTTCTGTGAAAACACAATGGCTTTTAACCTAAAGGAATACGACAACTGATGAAGAATAATCCCAAAGTCAATAGAATAATTCAAAGATGGCGACAAACCATCATTCAATACCAAAGCCACACAAACTTCAAATGCAAATAAGTTTCCAGAAAATTTTTAAGCCAAATATATGCATCACAACTTATGTTGTTTCTACCAAATAGATGGCGATCGACTTATTGTTTGTAGGCAAGAATATTAATAATTCACTGCTCCAAAAATCTATACCTATTTTGTCAATAGTTCCACTTATTAAAATAGAATCAAGCCATTTTTTGGTTTAGGTTCGGCCTCAATGGGAAAAGAAAAGCAATGTGAAATGCCATTCTTATAATTAGACTTTTGGTTGGCGCCATTTGTATAATATGGCATAGGGTATGAATAAAGTAATATGTGTCGCTGTTCTTATACTCTGACACATTTCAATAAAGAAACAGATAGCACAACTTTTCGACAAGCCATTTTTTCATTTCTTTTATTTATCCTATTTTATATATTCTTCTTAAATTCTATATGGTTTGTATTATTTATTAATTACTACGCATGATTTGATTATTGTATTTCATTATCTAGCTCGTATAATGTATTTTATTTGTAGATTATTTTTCAGTAAGCGAGTGCATATAATAAAATGTCTTCCCCATTTCACTTGCAGCACAACCATGCCAGTGACATATATACTAAAGTAATACAACAAGAAATACTAAGGCAGAGATGTATCTTCCATTTTCTATTCCATGTTTTAATTCTATAAGCCGATAGTTCCTCAATTGCCTTGCCTATAGTTCTCAACTTTTACAACGCTCCAAATGAAATATCGACTCAATTTAAGAATATTGAAAGTGAATACCATTTTAATAATATGCTACATTGGACTCAGTACTATCATATTATCAGTATGCATTCCATTGGTATAGTCAGTCCTGCATGACCAAATAGGTTTATGTTCCGTTGCTTCAACTCCATTACAAAAGTGATTTCTTATATGGTTTGTGATTCAAATAAGACGGATGATTTCAAGAATGTACATGGAACAAAATGGAATGAAAAGACACGTACATACATTGCAAGGTTTGTCATACAAATCTGCATAAACTTGCACGTCCAACTGCCAGTGATGGAGGGCTTCCCCACATTTTCTTTGATGGAGCTCAACGCAGTCTGTAGACAAGAAAAAACATGAAACAGAACACAAAAGTTCTAAGGAAGCAATCCAGCTTTTAAGATACACAATCAGTAACATTTTAACATTCTAAATTATTAATAGTCCACATGAGCCAATGAGGCAGCAGATCCGAGAGTGAGATAGTGTCACCGTCTTGGTTGAAAGACCTGTTAGCTTATCATAACAAAATATTGTCTATATATTCAACTAGAAGTTATAGACCATCATAACAAAAGAGAATCCTTGAACTCGGAAAAGTGATCACTTTGAAGAACTTTGTGATAAACATTTCCAAAAATAATCCTTTCGGAAACATATCACCTTTAATGAAAAGAAGAAGAATAATAACAATAACAAATACTTCTAGTTGAATAAGTAGAAGTAAGCAGTGTCTCCATAGATAGTAAGACACATTTTTTCATATTATTTTTTCTTCTAGTTTTCCAAAAATATACATTTCCGCATCGCATCAGTCAAACGAGACAAATGTGCAATTCACCAACAGACTAACACATAAAATTATCGACTATATATATGCTCTATAGTTTCATTTACCGATCTACATCAGATATTCATAAATAGTAACACAATTAAGCAGATTAGTAAGGCATATATAAAGATTAATGCATCAATACTTAAAAGACTATACCAAAAGTCCTGTACTCACAAGGGAAAGCGAATGCATGTCTGTTAGGGAAAGGGAAAGAACTTTCTCAACAATAATCAACAATAATCAGGTCTAAATCCAACTTCTTAAAAAAAAAAAATCTTTGTTGATGATGGAATCATGCAGGAGACAGCTACGAGAGCTACTCCTCCTCTCCTTCATCCGAATCATCAAAAATTGCTGTCTCCCCATCAGATCAGTAACATCAAAAATATTTCCAACGTACAGCAGACTAAGGAGATCGGAAGCAGCAGCAAAGCGCGCCTTCTTCTTTACCCTTTCCCTTTCCCATTCTTTAACCATGGCGAGTGAAAGTTCAATTTCGCTGGCAACAGCGCAGGAAAGCGAATAAAAGTTCAATTCTCCAACTCCTTTACAGCGGCCATAAGGAGCGCCTTCTGCTTCTTGCTGAGAGATGGCGGAAATAACGATGAAGAAATTGGAGGCTTGCTAATGGCAGCAAGAGAGAGATGAAGAAGAGTCTAGAGAGTGAATGGACAGATAGATATATATATATATATGTATATGCAGGTTCTTTATGGTGACGGCTGTCGATACACTGTGCAACAATATAAATAAGAATAATCTCTCTATGATATATTCCCTCCGTGCCCGATAAGATGGGCATGTTACCGTATAGGAAAATTCAGGTAAAATATAATTAATAAAAAATTAAAAATTATATTAATAAAATAATTATTAATTAAAATAATTAAATAATTTAATTAAAATTAAAATAAATTATAAATTATAAATTTTTAAATATATAAATATAATTAACTTTTTAAAAAGAAAATTGCGAAAATAGAAAATAAAGGAGTATTATTTCTTTCAACCATGATTTTTTAATTATTTATTTTTATGTAATAATTTTAAATAACACACCATAATTTTATAATTTTTCTTTATAAATAAAAAAATAAAATAAAAAATTAATTAATTATTTATTTTTATAATATAAAATTAATTTAATTTAAGATTTTTTATGCAAATTTTATATTAAAATAAGAATGATGTATTATATAATTTATCTTTATATTTATTTAGATTTACTCTGTATGTCCGGCAATCATTGACACTTTTGGTTTATAATATGATATTTAAAGTAATAATATAGAGTATGATATTATTCTATTATTTTTTATGTAATTAGTATTTTTTGTAGTTTTAAAATAATAATAATAATGTATATGACTTAAAAATTAAGAATATGTATTTAAATTAAATATTTTTAAAATTATATCTAAATAAAATATATGTAATATCAATACTCTCTCCATTCCATCGAAAGGTTGTCATTTTTTATTTTTGTCAGTACCCTTTCAACGTACAATATATTATAAAAATGTTATTATTTTTATATTAAACTATTTTTGTATTTTTTATTACAATCCAATATAATACTGATATTAAAAAATTTACGTGAAAAAAGCAAATGTCACTCTTTCACCGAAACGGAGGAAGTATTATTTTATAATGAATAAAATTTTATATTATATAAAAAAAATAAAAAAAAATATATTTATTTAATTAATTAAATAAATTAATGAGAAATTTTAAATATATATAGAAAAAAAATAAGAGTTTTAGAAATACCAAGATTTTGAATAAAATTTTCAAGCAATCTGAATCAGACCGAACTTGACTTACAAATATCGAAAATAGACTGACCGGCCCGGAATGAATAAACCGGCCTGGCCCGGAATCGCAACCGGTTAATTTTATTTACAGCTCTTTTGACTATTTTATTATTATTATTATTACTTATTCAGCGCCCCGCTCAAACTGCATTCTCGAACTTGTTAGCAGTTATTTCCATCTCCCATAACCACTTTAAAGCTTCCTTTGCTGATATTACTATATACGAAAGATCTGTTGCAGATCTTTAAAAGATTACTTGAATCATCAGTCTCTCCTTCACCACTCAAATCAAAGTTTCATAATCTGCAATCGATCCATTTCTTCGCATTCAATCCAATTTCAAAACAAATTTCCCCATACACAGATCTACTTCAGTTTCCATGGCATCTTCTTCCCAACAAGAACCCCACCCCTCACTATATCTGTACAATGACGACGATCCTCTGCCGGCCGTCGACAAAGAATCGAACGACGGCGACGACGCACCGGAGATCAGAATCGAAGCGGTTCCACACTACCTTGCTCTCGATGCTTCCGCTTCCATATCTTCCGTCTACGTTTTAATTAAACTGGTTGCCCCGCCGATGTCTGAATTCCGGCAAGAGCTCCGGCATGCTCCGATCGACCTCGTTATAGTGCTCGACTCGAGCCAATGCAGCTTCGACGACTCGTACATGGCTCACATTAAAGAAGCACTTCATTTCGTTATACAGAACTTAGGCCCCTTCGACCGGCTTTCGATCGTGTCGTTCGCGAATCAAGCTCGACGAATTTTACCGTTGCGCGCAATGAATGGCCGCGGGCGAGAACATGCGGCGGCAGCAGCCGAGTCGATCGTGGTCGAAGGTGGCTCGGCGAATCTTGCCGAGGGGTTGAAACAGGGGATTCGAGGAAAGGCGATACGACGAAAATCAGTTTGCGAGTATTATACTTTTATCCCACGCGAGGCAAGCGTCGCCGATTCGCGACAAACATTTCCAGTTTCCTATTCACGCCTTCGGCATTGGTCGGGACCATGACGCTGTCGCAATACACGCGGCGTCGGATAAATCCGAGGGCAGCTATACGTTCCTCGAGTCGTATGGAACAGTTCTTGAGGCGATTTCTAGCTGCATTGGAGGTCTTTTAAGCGTCGTCGCGCAAGATGTTCGCATAACGGTATCGGTGACCTTGCCGGTAGAAATCAAAGAGGCGTACACCGGAGGGTTCAAAAAGATCAAGTCCGGTGAAAAGAATCAAGTTACAGTACACGCCGGGGACTTCTACGCCGACCAGAAAAAGGAATTCGTCGTCCGTATAGTGATCCCTCAGCTGTTTTGTGAAAACATCGACGGATTTGGGAAGGCGCCACCGGTGAATATCGTATGTTTATACGACGATTTGGTGACACAACTCTCGGTGTTGGTAAAGTGCCCCTTACTCGAGCTGGACAGGGCGACGACGACATTCTTGCCAGGCGAAGAATTTCGACCAGGAAATGAGATTAATGCATTCTTTGCCTGCCTTATTAGCGCACATCGGATCGAACTTGCTCGATCGTATCTAGAGGAGGGCAATTTGTCGAAGGGGACGGCTGTTATCTCGAAAGCTATAAAATTCCTCGACTCCTTATCTGCCGCTGTTCATGATGATCGATGCGGTTGGGCTTCGGGTGAGATGCACGAGATTCAAAAAAGAGTAAGAAGTTTGGAGGAGTACAAAGCCGGTGGACGAGCTTACATGCTCTCGACTATAAGTTCGCTAAAGTTTCAAAGGGCGACGACAAGAGGCGATCGACTGCCCAAGGCATTCACGATGCGAGAAAAAGCTTTCGACGAATGCGACGCAGCTCCTAAAATGGCTACAAAGATGAAAGACAGCTTTATTACCGACGGAAATCGCATCGAAGATTGGATGGTTTCTAAGGACTGATGCTAAAAGTATGGATCATATAAGTTCGTTGTTGTTGTTAGCTTTTGGTTTTAACATTTTTGTGTCCTGATCTTGTTTTTCGATTGTCTATGGCTTTCGCTATGCAGCCATTGTCGTCATCCCTACAAGGTTTCCATTTACAGAATATATCTGCTGACATTGAGTCGAAGTTAAAGTGAAGAATGTTTTCAGCTTAAATAAGGATTGAGGAATGAGTAAATTATGTTATAGTTAGAGTTACCGCTCAATTAATGGCACGGTGGATTGAATAGGTTGAAAATTAGATTTCTTGATAAAAAAAAAAAAAATTGTTTAGATAAAAAAAAAAAATTGAAAATTTGATTTGATATTTTGTGAAAAAATAAAAAATAAAAAAAAATTAAAATTGTATTTGATATAATATTTTTTGAAAAATGAATAGTGTCATATATAATTGAAAGTGTGTTGCTTAAATAGAGCGTTTATAAACAAATTAGCACATATCGCTGAATCGAAATAATAATAATAATAATAATAAGCAAGGCGCAGCAAAAGTAATTGAAATTAGGGATGTCAACGGGGCGGGGTTCGGGACGGGTTCTATAGGCCCCGAGACCCGCCCCGCTAGAAAATATTAAGCTCCGAGATCCACCCCGCCCCGCCCCGCTTTCACCCGGCCTTAGGACCTGCCCCACCCCGAACCGGAGGGTTCAGGGCCAACCCGACAAATCCGTTTTTTTAAAAAATATGGAATAATAAATATATATTTTTTTAACAATCGAATATTAAAACAATCGCGGTTGAAAAAGCAGAAAAAGAAATTAGAAATTTATGGTTGGGGGCAGACAACTAATTGAGTTTTATGTTTAAAATTATTTAATTAAATAAATAATATATTTTTATTATATAAAAATATACATATATTAGGTATAATAATTTTAAAAAATTATTTAGAACAGATGACTAATTGAATTTTATATTTAAAATTATTTAAATAAATAAATAATATATTTTTGTTATATAAATATACATATATTATTAGCTATAATAATTTTAAAAAATATCCGGGTTCGGGTTGGGGCTGATTTTTAGTAAAATCCGTATCCCGCCCCGAATTCGACCGGATTTAAAATTTTAAATCTACAATCCGCCCCGAAACATATTATTTAGACCCAAACTCGCTCCATTAAGAACGAATCCGAAGTGGGTCCGAGGCTAACCCGCCCCATTTTTGACATCCTGATTGAAATGTGTATATATTAGTAAGTGCGTTTGTGATAAATACACAATATAATGAAATACAATATATATATATTTTATATATATATATTTATACGTAAAGAGATAGAGAGGCAGAGAGATAATAAATATGAGAGAGAATGGGAACTTTGGTAGTCAAATTCATATAGATACGTCGTTGCCTCTATTTCATTACTTATTTTTTTTTTTCATTTATATTTAGGGTGTGTTTGTGTGGGGGAAAGGATTTTAAATTTACTGTTTATTTTATTTTATTTTTTAAAAATATTAAATTAAATAATTATTTTTTATTTTTTATATTATACTAAAAATTAATTTTACATTCAAAATATTACATCAAACACCTATTTATATCACATCATACAACTATTCAAATTCAAAATTTTTACTACTCAAAATTCAAATCCTCGAACAAACACAAACACGTGTATATTTATTTCTATACAAATTGCTTTCTGTATGACCCGTTATAATAATCAACTTCTACAAACTACTTTTACTATTTTATAGAACCCACATAATTTATTTATTTTTATACATTTTTATTACATAATATATATTATTTATTCACTTCTGTTGTACATAATTTGTTCCTCTTTTTTATTTTCGTTATATTCACATAACTTGTCCTTTTTTTTTAAAATATAATTATAAACTTTAATCACATTTAAAAAGTTATATTTTATAATTTTTTTAATCTTAATTAAATTATTTAGTTTTCTTAATCTTAATTTATAATTATTTTTATTATAGAATAATTACTTTTACTAATATACTTTTTAATTACTTACTAATTATATTTTACCTAAATTCTCGCGTTTATAATGACACGCTCAAATTACATGGGACAGAGAGAGTATTTATTTATACATATTTCTATATATTTTTAATGTATAATAATATTTTTTTTAATATAATATTATATTTTAATTTTTAAATATTATTCTATATAAATTTTAATATATTGAAATATATGATTCAATATTTTAAAATTTAAAATTATTCAAAATAAATCAATATATATATATATTTATAGATTTATGTTAAATTTAAAATTTTAAAATTAAAAAAAATAAAAAAATTGAATAATATTTAAATTTTTTTTTTTTAAAGGGTAACCTGCAAGAGGCTCTCGTAATAGCATCTCCAATTAAGTACAAATGGCTATTTATAAGCAAATGACATCATCCTTGGTAATCATTTTAAATTTGTCGCGTGACACCTATATATTATGAAAGATAGGTCCCACTAATTAAATGCATTAATGATTTAATATTTTCTCCGTCATTAAAAATAAATGGAGAATTTTGATATAATTCTGCGTCAGATAAAATATATTTAATGTTCGGTCCCTACATGTTATTTCAAGATATTGCACTTTCTATTTTTGTAAAATATTTACAAATAGTTTTTTACTATCCATTTTGCCCCTAGAATGATGATTTTATTTAACGGATATATTATATACTCCCGTTGAATTTACGTAAACCTACATTCTTTACTTACGTACTCTAAAATTATCGTGTTATACATGTTTAATTCCTATGTAATGTACCTTGATTTATTATTTATATACTATAATCGGTTATAAAAATAACTCCAAAAACAAAACCAACCTAAAAAATACACACGATCTTAATCACTCATTTTTTTTTGAAACCTTTCTCCTCTCATTTTTAAGTCGTCGCCTCCGATCGTCATCCTTGAAATCATCATTGCGAATGCACTGAAATTTTTTTTTTTTTTTTTTTATCAAAGACCAACCGAAATGATAAAACAAAGGTGCCCAGTCTGCTCAAAATGTCGAAGAGAGTCTCCTCTCCCAAACGAAGTTCAAGAATTAAGTTAAAAATTTTGTATTTGTAAAATCGATATCTTAGTTTTGTGCCTGTTTGGTTTATATAAGTCTAGGTGCCAGTCGAGCTTATTTTGGCATCGTAACCCAACGTCATTTCAAATATAGGTTACTTTGATGTGTTTTAAATTATAAGTAACTTTATTGTATATAAAAAATTTTAGTTTTTATCTTGTTAGCTTTAATTTATAGTAAAATGGTTACGATATGAGGCGGGTGGAGTTCGATTTTTTTCCAATACCGTTGGTGACAATTTGTTATGTGGAGTGACTTTTTTAAGTATTGAAAGTGTTTGTTGATATCTCTTTCGCATTGTAGGTTGTTCATGTATCTATTTTGTCGATTTATGAAAATTTTGTTTGTTTTTACTAGTGTGTGTTAGTGCCTCCAAATGCTTTTGGTTACAACAAATGGCATAAATGTGTGCTCTGATTTTCAATTGATGTTCCTCTACAGGAAAATTATATACTTATATAGTTATGTCATAAACTTAAATTGGTGTATATATGTTCTTGCAGACTTATGTACGCTTTATGCAACACGAAAACTTACTCACTTTGTAGATGGGCTACCAAATTTGACAATATCAAAATGTATTGATAAAAAATTGTTGTGAAGATTTTATCAAAAGACCCTGAAGACACTGTCTAGAATCATTTATCGGATTTTTATTCAATTATTATGCATAAATTGAAAAAAAATTGAGGTTTGAAGCATATAATTATCAAAATTTGGGTAGTTAGTCATTAATGTTATTTTTGTCAAAAACTTTAAGGATCATCATAATTTCTAATTTAACATACAACATATGTGGTTCTCCATAAGTATGAACCTTGGTATTAGATATACGTATACAAAGAATTAAGAAATATATTTTGGTGCGCAAAATTTTATGATTGGGTGTGGAGAAACCCCTAAATTGGAATAACATACTCCAACAAAGATATATGTTCCTCAGTTAATTAACTTACATACTTATGACATGATTACATATACTCATATTAAGGAATAGACTTTGTAAGTAACTGCATACATATTCGACATGTAGTGAAAATAGGAGTACTCACCATATTATCTTGAGAACACCGATGGACACATTCAATGTAAACCTTAATGACAAATGCTTACTTATAGTATGGATAGTACCCATATGTCTCGTGTATAATATTTTACTTCTCATAAAAAATTCCCTTGTGTTTCCCGAATTCATTAAAATCCCTCATAGTTCTAAAATTCCAAAATCTACTCGTGATTTCTAAAATGTTACAGGAAAACCTCTCTCAATTAAGACTTAACTGTTGAAATGTGATTTTTAATTTTTAATCTAATTTATTAGAAGATTCAAAAATTTCTTTCATTTTAATTTTAAGTCCGATAAACCCTACATCAGAAAATTCTAATCTTACAGCTACCAAAAATTGAGAAAACCAAACTTGAATTTGAACACCAAATTTAGAATACATTTAATCAAACGGAACGAAGACGAGAATGCCGCTCAGCGTCGATTTTTTGCTCACCCAACCTAGAAATCCAACTTTACTCAATCTACAATTGACTTTTGTTTCACCCAACCCAGAAATCCAACTTTACTCAATCTACATCCTATACAAACCGCAAAACGCCAGTTCAAACTGCCGGTTTACGGTTTGAACCGGCGGTTCAACCCTTATATTTTTATTTTAAATTGGCGGCGACAATTGTGGAATGTTGTGGACAGGTGGCAATTGAAAAGGAGGAAGAGAAAAAAGAAAAGAATTTGAAAAAAAAAGAAGAAGATATAGAAAGAACCTGGTGGGTGCGGCTGCGGTGGCGACTGTGAAGAATGTGGAAAAAAGAAGGAATAAATAAAAGAATTGAAAAAAAAAAGAAGAGATACATAAAGAACCTAGTGCAGGTGCATCGGTGACCATGAAGAAGAAGAATGAGGAAAGAAGAAGGAAGAAATAAATCAATTGGGGAAGAAGAAGAAGAAGAAAGGGGAGAGAAGAACATGTTGCCGGCAGGGGGAATGTGCAATGTGGATGTGTATGGTTGATAATCATATATCGCATATGATAAATATTCATATTATTTGTAATATTTGGTTGATTTTGATTAGATTTTACATGATTTGGGTATATATTATTTATATGTGATTTGCAGGAAAAAAAAAAATAAAATTAGAGAACAAAAAGACCCAAAGCCCAATTATTACAAAATTAGAGCAAATATAAAGGAAAGAAAGAAAGGAGATGCGCCACTTTTGCCACTTTACATGCCACGGAGGAGAACACCTTGCAAAACAATTCCAAGGAGAAATTGCACAAAGGTAAGAAGGAGAAAAAGTCTTCCAAAAAGATTTCGAGTTCTACCCCTACCAACATTATTCTCAGGCGATGTTTATCTTTGTTTTCTTTGTTCTTCCTCCTATGATTAGCCAGTAGCTTACTTTTCTAGTGTAGGAGTGAAAAATAATTTTGTATGGATTTGAGAGATTAGACTTGTTTTGATTTATCATATTTCTTTTGTTCCTAAGTATTTCTGTGGTTTTTTATTTCTTTGGTTTATAATCTTTTATTTGGTTGGATATTGTGGCCAGATATTTCAATTGGATTAAGGATTTATTGCTAAACTAAATTAGATGTCCGTAATTGTTTTTCAATTTGGTTCAAGTAGCAAATAGTGACAAGTACCATTAGGAAATTACTTAATCAATTTAACAATTTTGAATTAGGCTATTCTAGTTCATAAGACGGTTAGACTAGTAAATTCTTTATGGCATCACTAGGGTTCTAGTATAACTAGGGAAGCAATTGACGGACGTACCTAGACTGTCGAGAAATTAAGGAAGAGTTGGTTATTAGGCGCGTGTCGGTAACTATAACTAATTTATTTAGAAACCAGTAAAATTAAATATTTATCGATGATCAAATCCACTATCCAAGTTGTCAATTTCATTCATAGATTGAAAACTTATTTTTATTGAATTTATCTTTTAGTCGTAGAGTTTTTAATTTGTTATTTTATTTTTATTTTCTAATTCAAAAATCCTCCATTTTATTATATTTATAAATTAAACAATCGAAAATAAAACATTTTTAATTCCCTTAGAAGACGATCATACTTCATTGATACTACATTATTTTTATTGCAGAAGTAGGTTTATTTTATTTAAATTTTGCAGCGTGTGACGAACGTCTGTCGATGGTGTAATGGATTAGGGAAAAACTGTGTATTTAACATAAATAATACGACCTCCGTCCGATTCTAAGGGTATTATTTACTTTTTGTGTGTTGATATTTGAATATTAATTATTATATCAAAACGTAGTACAAATTAAGAAAAAATTGCAAAAATATTTCCATTAGTATCTTATAATACTAAAAGAAGGATATTTGTACAAAAGTTATACAAATATAAAAAATTTGTAATGTTAAGTACATTGACGCAAAAGGTAAATGTAACCTTTAGAGGCGGACGGAGAGAATATTATATTCATAATTTAATTACATAGGATCAATCACATTATTTATTATATAATATTTAGGGTAAATTTTATAAGACCCTTGTGTTTTTAGTAAAAATACACAAAACATCCTATATTTTATTTATTACGTGAAACTCCTTTGTGTTAATGTAAAGTTTGTACGAAACATTCTCCTTGTCCAAAATTGATCTTTAGTTTTAAATAAAGACCTATATTACGCAAGTCTTAACAAATAAAAAATAAAAAATATCTTAAATAATTTTTTTGAATAAAATAAATAAATAAATAGTTGTTTAATCCTTCATTTTATAGTTTTTTAGAGATAAATTGTTATTGATTTTTACACAAGCTATAAAAATAAATGATTGATCAATTATTTATTTATTAAAAAATAATTTAAAATATTTTACGTTTTTTATTTGTATAAAACTTGCATAATTTAAGTTTTATTTAGAACCAAACATTAGTTTTGGACAAGAAGTTGTTTCGTGCAAACTTTATATTAACAGTGCAATAAATAGAACACGAGAAATTTTATACATTTTTATAAAATATAGTGGCATATTATATAATTTGCCCTAATATTTTCAATAAAAAAAAATCAAATAATTTAAATTCAAATATTTTCAAATCAAAATCTTTTTTCAAAACTCATATCTAAATGGAGTTAGAATTTTTTTTAGGTAGATTAAAATATAGATACCAGACTGTGTTTTTTTTTTTTTTTTTTTTTTTTTTTTTTTCTCTCAGTAATTTTAATGTGATTATTATTATTTAGTTTCGGAATCTTTCGCTAATTTGTTCAATAATTTATCCGGCAATACACAATTTTGAATCTTTTATCGGAAACGCCCAAGCCGAAAGTGCGCACGGACCGAACCTAATACCCTGCAAATTAAATTCGATAGGCCAATCACACTACACTAAGCGAACCACGTGTGGCAGTGACATAAGATCGATCAGTTTTAACAAGACCAAAGTTAAATAGACAGGGACAATTAATTTTTTTAAGAAATGAAACATGGTTTCATTTGAATTTCCACATAATAAATCCTTTAACCTTTTAGTAATTCACCTACCCCAAAATGATATATATGAATAATTAAAATCATCAATATTATGCTCAAAAATGGCAAACATACTCAGATGTTTTAAATCGTTCCATAGATCATCTATAACAACCATTCTTCACTATAAATGCAGACTGCTTCCAATGAAAGAAGTTGCTTTATTATTCTGTAAATGGAAAGCTTGTAGGGATGACAACAATAGCTGCATATATAGCGAAAGCCATAGACAATCGAAAAACAAGATCAAGACACAAAAATGTTAAAACCAAAAGCTAACAACTAACTTATATGATCCATACTTTCAGCATCAGTCCTTAGAAACCATCCAATCTTCAATCCAATTTCCGTCGGTAATAAAACTGTCTTTCATCTTTGTAGCCATTTTAGGAGCTGCGTCGCATTAGTCGAAAGCTTTTTCTCGCATCGTGAATGCTCTGGGCAGTCGATCGCCTCTTATCGTCGCCCTTTGAAACTTGAGCGAAGTTATAGTCAAGAGCATATAAGCTCGCCCCCCAGCTTTGTACTCCTCCAAACTTCCTATTCTTCGTAGAATCTCGCGCATCTCTGCCAAAGCCCAACGGCATCGATCATCACGATCAGTGAAAGATAAGGATTGGAGGAAATGGATCATTTTTGAAATAATCTCCTTGGCATTCGATACATTTCCCTCCTCTAGATACAATCGAGCAAGTTCGATCCGCTCTGTGCAAATAAGGCAGGCAAAGAACGCATTAATCTCATTTCCTTGTCGAAATTGTTCGCCTGGCAAGAATGTCGTCGTCGCCCTGTCCAGCTCGAGTAAGGGGCACTTTACCAACACCAAGGGTTGTGTCACCAAATTGTCGTATAAACATGTGATATTCACCAGCGGTGCCTTCCCAAATCCGTCGATGTTTTCACAAAACAGCCAAGGGATCGCTATACGGACGGCGAATTCCTTTTTCTGGTTGGCATAGAAATCCCTGGCGTGTACTGTAACTTGATTCTTTTCATCGGACTTGATTTTTTTGAACCCTCCGGTGTACGCCTCTTCGATTTCTACCGGCGAGGTCACCGATACCATTATGCGAACATCTTGCCCGACAACGCTTAAAAGACCTCCAATGCAGCTAGAAATCGCCTCAAGAACTGTTCCATACGACTCGAGGAACGTATAGCTGCCCTCGGATTTATCCGACGCAGCGTGCATTGCAACAGCGTCATGGTCCCGACCAATGCCGAAGGCGTGAATAGGAAACTGGAAATGTTTGTCGTGAATCGGCGACGCTTGCGCCACGTGGGATAAAAGTATAATACTTGCAAACGGATTGCCGTCGTATCGCCTCTCCTCAAGAACTCGAATCCCCTGTTTCAACCCCTCGGCAAGATTCGCCGAGCCACCTTTGACCACGATCGACTCGGCCGCTGCTGCCGCAAGTTTTCGCCCGCAGCTATTCATCGCACGCAATGGTGAAATTCGCCGAGCTTGGTTCGCGAACGACACGATCGAAAGCCGGTCGAAGGGGCCTAACTTCTGTATAACGAAATGAAGTGCTTCTTTAATGTGAACCATATACGAGTCGTCGAAGCTGCATTCGCTCGAATCGAGCACTATAACGAGGTCGATCGGAGCATGCCGGAGACCTTGCCGGAATTCAGACGTCGGCGGCGCGATTAGTTTAATTAAAACGTAGAGTGAAGAGATGGAAGCGGAAGCATCGAGAGCAAGGTAGTGTGGAACCGCCTCGATTCTGACCTGCGGTGCGTCGCCGCCGTCGTTCGATTCGTCGTCTACGGCCGGCAGAGGATCGTCGTCATTGTACAGATATAGTGAGGGCTGGGATTCTTGTTGGGAAGAAGATGCCATGGAAACTGATTATGAAATGGATCGATTGCAGATTATGAAACTCTGATTTGAGAGACTGATAATTCAAGTAATTTTGTAAAGATGGAAGCTTTAGAGTAGTTATAGGAGATGGAAATAACTGCAAGCAGTTCAAGAATGCAGTTTGAGGAGTGATTATCGCTGACTAAGTAAATTAATAATATAATAATAATAATAATGTTATATAATAAATATTATATTTGGTAAGTATAATAGTATATATATATATATATAGTGTGTATTATAGATACAATATATGTTCATGTAATGATGATATATATATATGTATGGTGATAGCAGTGTGTGAATGACGCGCGTGTGTGTGTGAGTAAATATATATATATATATGTATGTAAGTAAATTGAGTGAAAGAGAAGGAAGAGAATGAAATATTGGGTGGGATGAGACTTCTGCTTGTGTATTTCATTTTATTGAATTGGGTACTTACAGCATAGCAATAAATAACATTTGTGGTTAATAATATACCACACAAGTTATCAACGCACTTACTACGTATATAGTATATAAAGTATTCAAATAACATCTACCTAGTTACTACATGTACGTTTTGTAACACTCCCCCTTGGATGCTTTCATACGGAAAATGTGTCTCGATAAAACCTTACTATGAGAAAACCCTGTGAAAAAAAATCATAGTGAAGGAAAAAGAGTACATCATTCTTGTATTAATGCGCTCCCCCTGTTATGAACTTTATTTGATGTCTTACATCCGACGCATTCCAATTCCTTGCACCAGTTTGTTGAATGTTGTAGTCGGTAGCGTCTTCGTAAATAAGTCTGCAAAATTTTCAAAAGATCGAATTTTTTGCACATCAATTTCACCACTTTTCTGAAGATCGTGAGTGAAAAAGAACTTCGAAGATATGTGCTTTGTCTGATCGCCTTTAATATATCCTCCATTTAACTGAGCTATACAAACCGCATTATCTTCGAATAATGTTGTAGGAGGTAATATATCATCGGAAATCAAGCCACAATTTTTCTGAATATGGTGAGTCATAGACCTCACCAAACGCATTCACGACTGGCTTCGTGAATTGCTAAAACCTCAGCATGGTTTGAAGAAGTAGTTGTTATCGTCTGTTTAGCAGATCTCCAAGAGATTGCGGTTCCACCAAAAGTAAATAAATAGCCAGTTTGAGATTTTGCTTTGTGTGGATCAGATAGATAACCAGCATCAACATAACCAATTAATTCATTTTGAGATTCACTCGAATAAAATAAACCGAGGTCATGAGTCCCCTGAAGGTAACGAAAAATGTGTTTGATACAATTCCAATGGCGCTTTGTGGGGGATGCGGTAAACCTGGCCAGTAGATTTACTGAAAAATATCTGGTCTCGTACAATTTGCAAGGTACATTAATGCGTCAATAGCGTTGAGATATGGTACCTCGGGGCCAAGTATTTCTTCTTTTTCTTCTCTTGGCCTAAATGGATCTTTACCGGGATCAAGGGATCTGACCACCATTGGTGTACTAAAAGAATGAGATTTATCCATATAAAATTGCTTTAATACCTTTAGGGTATATGTGGATTGATGGATAAATATTCCATTGTTCACATGATCCACTTGTAATCCCATACAATATTTTGTCTTTCCAAAATCTTTGATCTCAAATTCTTTCTTTAGATATTCAACTGCAATTTGGATCTCTTCTGGAGTTCCGATTAAATTGAGATCATCAACATATATCGAAATAATGACAAAATTTGATCCATTTTTTTCTTGATAAAGACGCATGGGCATATTGGATCATTAGTATAACCTTCTTTTATTAAACATTCGTTGAGACGGTTATACCACATTCCCCCTGATTGTTTAAGTCCATATAATGACTTCTTCAATTTGATGGAATATGATTCCCTTGGGTTTAATTTGTATGCTTCGGGCATATTTAATTCCTCATGAACTTTTATATAAATATCAGTATCCAGTGAGCCATGAAAATATGCAGTTACTACGTCTAGAAGACGCATGTCGAGCTTTTCTCACACTGCTAGGCTCACAAGGTATCTAAATGTTATTCCATCGACAACTGGAGAGTATATTTTATCAAAATCTACTCCAGGTCTTTGTGAGAATCCCTGAGCTACAAGACGGGCTTTATATCTCACAATTTTATTATGCTCATTTCTTTTTCTTACAAACACCCATTTGTATCCAATTGGTTTTATACCATCTGGTGTTTGAACAATTGGTCTCTCTTTTGTTTAATGAGTCAAGCTCTGATTGAATCGCATGTTCCCATTTTGGCCAGTCATTTCTTTACCGACATTCATAAACTGATTTTGGCTCTGGAGCCTCGTTTTCTTCCATTATATCAAATGCTAAATTGTATGTGAATGCATTATCAATTATTGTCTCTTTGCAGTTCCAACATTTTCTTGAAGTAACATAGTTAATTGAGTTTTCAATAATTTCATCATGTTCTTCAAGATCGTGCTCTTCTGGAGCAATTATTTCAAGGTTGACTTCCTCATTAGGTTGAGGTTTATCAATGTCATTCATGATATTTTAATGATTATCATCATTAATTCCTCATTTCTTTCGAGAATGTTTGTCTTTGGAACCGAGTGGTCTGCCACGCTTTAAACGTGTGGCTGATTCATTAGCACTTGTAATTTGTCCATCAGGGACAATTATTTTAGCCGGAGCATTAGCAACTTGGATATATGATCGAGTGACTTTGCTCGAGCCATTGAATGCATTTGGTAACTGATTTGCAATATTTTGCAAATGTATAAAGCGTTGAACTTCTAGTTCACACTGCTTTGTATGAGGGTCATAAAAATTCAATGGGATTTTCCAGTTAATATCCCTTTTCGGTTCATTTTTGTCTCCCCCTAATGTTGAAAAATATGATTCATCAAAATGACAATCTGCAAATCTTGCAGTGAATAAATCACCCGTCATAGGTTTAAGATATTTTATAATTGACGGCGATTCATATCCGCCATAAATGTCCAATCTACGTTGAGGACCCATTTTTGTACGTTTGGGGGGTGGAATAGGAACATAAACAGCACACCCAAAAATACGTAGATGAGATATATTTGGTTCGTGACCAAATACTAACTGGATTGGGGAATAGCTATGAGAGCTTATCGGCCTCATTCTTATAAGTGTTCCTGTATGTAAGATTACATGCCCCCAAGCTAAAACGGGCAACATAGACCTCATCAGTAATGGTCTAGAAATCAATTGCAATATTTTAATAAGTGATTCTGCCATACCATTTTGTGTATGAACATGAGCAATTGGGTGCTCTACATTAATTCAAATCGACATGCAATAATCATCAAATGCATTTGATGTATATTCACCAGCATTATCCAGGTGTATAGTCTTGATGGGATTATCGGGGAATTGTGCTCGTAATTTAATAATTTGGGCAAGCAATCTCGTAAATGTCATATTGCGAGTAGATAATAAACAGACATGTGATCATCTGGTAGATGCATCGATAAGCACCATAAAATATTTAAATGGCCCACAAGGTGGGTCTATTGGTTCACATATATCCCCGTGTATTCTTTCCAAAAATGTAGGTGATTCAATACCTACTTTAGCTGGCGATGGCCTAGTTATCAATTTTCCCTAAGTGCAGGCAACATAGGTTAATTCATTTGAGTTTAACACTTTTTAACCTTTTAATGAATGGCCATGCGAATTCTCAATTATTCGCCTTATCATTATACTGTCAGGATGGCCAAGACGATCATGCCATATTTGAAAATCGGTAGTCTTTTGATCTACCGTGAGGTGTGTTTCAACAACACCTAATCTGGCATGATATGAGCCAGTAGAGAGTGAGGGTAATCTCTCAATGATGCATTTCTTTTTATCAATGAAATTGGTGATCAATAAAAATTCACAGTCGGTATCACTCATAGTTTCAATGTGATAACCATTTTTCCGAATGTCATGAAAGCTCAGTAAATTTCTTCGAGCTTTAGTGGCCAATAGTGCATACTGTATCACAATTATCGTCCCCGCGGGGAGAAATATAATGGCTTCTCCAGAGCTTTCAATTAATTTTGCACTGTCACTTATTGTATTGACATTCATCTTTTCCCTTTTCAAATGGGAGAAATATTTTTCGTGTTTCAATATGGTATGTGTCGTTGCACTGTCAATAAAACACATATTTGCACCATTTTGATTGGCATCCATTTAACCTTCAAATATAAATAAACGCAGTATTAATAAAGACATATATAAGTATTACAAAATGCATTACAAAAAGGTAGTATGCGATAATTTAAATATTACAAAATATAAAATGACATAATATGTCTATCACTAGGGGTTTGCTGGATCTACGACAAAATTCGCTATATCAAGATGCGTTGTGTCATTATCCAGAAGATCATCATCGGGGTCGTCATCATTATCAACGTGATTTGTCTCGACCTTCTTCCCCTTTTTCTGCAGTGAGGCTTGATAAAGATCGGCTAGGTGTTTGGTTGTTCTGCATGTATTGGCCCAATGGCCTTCAATGCCGCACCGATTACAAATGCCGATTTGCCTCTTTCCATATTTAGCCTTTTCGGTTATGTCCCCATATTGGGGTTTACTCTGCTTCCTGTTAATGTCAATACCGCGATGATTGTAAGAAGTATATCGACCGCGTTGACTCTCACAACCGCGACCACGTCCACGGCCTCTACCACGTCCTCGGCCTCATTCATAAAATGTCACGTTCGCTTCAGGGAACAGACTGGAACCAGTGGGCCGGGACTGATGATTTTTCATCAATAACTCATTATTTTGCTCAGCTAATAAAAGACATGCAATGAGCTGTGAGTACTTTTGAAAATTTTTCTCGTGATACTGCTGTTGCAGCACAACATTCGAAGCATGAAAGATAGATAGAGTCTTCTCCAATTTATCATTCTCAGTAACAATTTCTCTGCAGAGTTTGACCTGAGATGTAATCTGATGGATAGCAGAGTTGTA